GCCGTTGTGGGCGACGCTCTGCAAGTAAGTCAGCACGATTAACTTAATAACGACAATGGAGTTACCTACCTTTACCACGAGGGAAAGTCCTACTTCGAGGCCGACGAAGGCAAACATATACGTAAAGTATAGGGTGCTGCAAAACAATAAGGATCGCTTCTGTCCGTAATGGAGGCATTGCATCCATGATAGCGTCGAGAGCGCCGTGAAGAGCTGAGGTTGTAGAATAAGCTGTATAGGATACGGTCAGCATTCTACTCATAAGGTCTGCTTGGAGACTTGATTATGACCGACCGGTATATTGATGTTCTGAACGATGACATAGACTCCTAACGGGATGCCGCTGATCGCCCAAATGAACATGAGCCAAGCTGAAAGACCTTCAGTCGACTTGGCTCTCCACGACTTCCAGATTTGAGGGACGATCTGCAACGTCCAGCAGATGGTACCTTGCGATATCGGAGTGGATGAACGGGCTGGAGAGGTCAACGTACGAGGAGAGCGCGCACCTATCGTTCCAAGGATGTTTTCGGCAACAGCGTTTGCGGGCATAGCTTGAAGGACTTGGAGCACGAGGTTCTTTCTTGGGTGGATCGAAGGATGCTTGAGATTGTAACGACCCCATTCGCATCTTCTTAGGGCGCTTTTAAAGTGCGATTGGGTGACCAAGCGGTCTGGGGTGTACACTATCACCTCGAGGCTTGGATGCTCAGAGAATCCAGGCATAGTCCGGGTCATCGCATGACTAGGAGTGGGCGGAGCCTCCGCGATCAGGCGACCGTCTTTGGTGCCGACGGAAAGGTCGTCGCTGCAACGTCCTTACGCAAAAATGTAAAAGCTGGTCAATATCATGGGGAGGGGCAGATCAACCTCTATGCTAAACTCTTGATGCTGGGTAAGACCAAGCACCTGACGGTTGACGGGACCCTATTTCCGACCAATCGGTCGTGGAGGGATGTCCGTTTCGGGATAGCTGAGTTCTCCGTCCGAGCGTGGTTCCTGATGTCCGGACCGACGGGACGTTCGGCAAATCTGATCCAGAAGCAGATCTGATATTACTCGCCGTTAAGGGCAAGAGACAAGAGGCGAACGAGCGCTCTTCATTAAACGAGATTGTTCTTGAGACACTGGATTGCTTCACGAAGTTTGAGGGGGTGAGTTTCGTTGGAACCTCTCGCTCGGGTGGGTCGGACGTGATGATACGGTGACTAGGGCGAAACATAAAGGGTCTAGACCCGTCTACGTAGATCCGAGGTCATGCTTAAACATCTTAATGTCCACGCGATCCGTTGCTTGCGTCTGGGGTACACTTGATAATCCGGAAGCAGCAATTAGGCCCTTACCTTCCTTCAATTCCCGCAGAGGACTAGTTAGACTTGTAAAGAGCCTCATAAAAGTGCCGTAAAGGTCTCTGGAAACGACTAGAACAGTTTGCGTGGATGTAAAGTAGGCGTTCTCCGCGTTCCAAGACCGAAGTTCCTCCAATCCCCCTTTAACACGCTCCTAGAGGAAAGTATCTGAGAGCATTCGCGTCCGATACCCTCAAGCATTCAAGTACATGCTTCCTAAACTCTGAATGCGTGTCGAAATAAACCGAAAATGGCCTATTCTGGCACTTTTCGCGGGTTTCTCCGCGCCTCAAGCACAAAAAGACCAACCAAACGTCAGGAAGACGAGAAAAGCAAAAGAATGATGACCGACGCAGGGGTTGAACCTGCAACCTCCCGCTTTCAGGTTCGACCCCTGACCGAGACATGAATCGTAGGCGGACGCGCTGCCATTGCGCCAGACGGCCTTCACGCCCAA